GCATTAATTTTAACCGATGTCCAACATTGGAAATCTATTGCAACTGCTGTTAACTGTATTGCATGTAAATGTTAAAGGGTTTTTTATGTGTGAAAGAGGGAGAGAGAGATTCAAATCACTAAAAATATGGTTTGAATCTGGTGTTCTGGCCCTACTCCTTTGTCCAAATGCCCCATTAAAATACGATCAGACATTTTGCCCTTAGAAGACTGTTCTCACACCACAGCTATTAACTTTGTCTGTAAGGTTAATGGACCTCCCAAAAGCTGGATATCTTTGTTCATTTTGTTGGTATACATTTCTTACTCTGATACCGTAGTTACTTTTCTGCAAAGTGACTGAGTAATAAGCACACAACACCTTGAAATGACTTCTCTCCAAGAAGGAAAATGGCAAGACATCCTGATCATAAGTCAGTACACATGAACTTAAACACTTCCTACAGCAGCCCTTGAAGGAGAGCTATTTTGTGCCTGAAAAGCAGTTCTGTGTCAAGACTTGACTCTAACAAAAATCCCATGGCAGGCAGAGAGTACCTCTCCTGTTCCTTCTTCACATGATGCTATTTGTCCACAAAAGCTTGGGAGAAAAAAGTAGTTAATCAATGACAACAAAAAAAAAACTATCCCACAACTCAAAACTTTTTCCTATGATGAGAAAAGATAACTTCTAAACCAGAAGAAATATATTCTGGTATTAATTGTCATCACAATACACTTGACAACTTTTATATAATAACGTTTTCCTTCCACTGATTTTTGTCCTTAATTTAAATTTATATACTTTATTGCCATAAGACCAATAGCATTGATATTTTAGCAGAATAATTATGCATGATAAAATAGTTTGATGCTTAGAATTATATCCATTAATGATTAGTCTTCATGTTGGAGTGCATTACTACTTCTACTTGGATCAACCTGTTGTGGTTTGAGCCTGGTCAGCAGCCAACCACCACGCAGCCACTCTCTCTCCCTTCTCTTCCGGCATTAGGAAGGGACAGAGAACCAGGCTTGGGGTCAGAGATAGGACTGGGATGGGGAAAAAAATCTCCCTTTATGGGCATGAGCAAAAGGCAGACTCATTAGGGGAAGGAAAAAAGAACATACATTTATTACAGACACTAATAAGACTTAACAGAGTAGGACAGTGAGAGGCATTGCCATATCTTGAGAACACCTTCCCCCCACCCCTCCCTTCTTCCTGGGCTCAGCTCTGCTCCCGATATCTCTACCTCCTCCCCCAGTGGCGCAGGGGCAGGGAATGGGGGGTGCAGTCAGCGCTGCCACTTCTTCCATCTTCAGTAGGGGGACCTTGTGGAACTTGTTTCCCCTGCTCCATCGTGGTCCCCCTCTCACAGGAGACAGTCCTCCACAAACTTTCTCCAACGTGAGTTCCTCCCATGGGCTGCAGCGTTCCCCACACTGCTCCGTCGTGGGTCACCAACTTTCTCTGGCTGGAGTCCCTCCCGTGGGCTGCAGCCCTTCCTGAGCTGCTCCGGCGTGGGACTCCCCCACATGCTGCAATCCTCCCAGCACTGAATTACAGCAGCGGGGCTGCCTTTTCCCATGAGACCCCGGCCTTCTTCTGGCACAGCACCTTGATTATTCCAAGCAGAAGCCACAGGCCATAAATCAATGTCTGCTCCACCGTAGATCTCCATGGGTGGCAGGGGGGGCTGCCCTGCTGTCTCACCACAGGATACAGGGGGGTCTCTGCTCCGGCACACCTCCCCCCTCCTTTCTTCCTCTGTTCCTCCACTGACCTTGGTGTTCACGCAGATGCCGCAACTTCTCCTCACCAGTCCCACTGCCCGTCACCACGTCCCTTCTTAAATATGTTATCACAGAGGCACAGCTGATGGGCTCAGTTTCCAAACAGAGATGGAGCTGACTTGGAGCTGGAGGAGGTTCCAGAAGCTTCTCACAGGGGACCACCCCTATAGCCCCCTCCTCTGCTACCAAAAAACCCCACCACTCACTCAACCCAGGACACAGCCCTTTCCATACTTCTAAAGCAGAAAAAAAAAAAAAAAAATATGCAAAGAACTCTGATACAGAAGGATTCACATCCTCAGGAGGAGAGTATAGAGGTACAAAAGAGGGTGAGGCGTGAGAGGGGAGAGTGATCCTGTTTCTAAATATTTTTTTAGCTGCGTGATACATCCTTCTCTCTTCTAGCCTTTCTTTTTTATTGTTCTTTTAGTCTCTCCAAAGCATAGTTTTACTATTTGTTATGCCCAGTCACAGTGGTGTCTGGAATATATCTGCACAGCATTCCTGATTTGAAGTTTATGAACTACAGACAAAATACAGCTCGTCTTTTTCTTGGCTGACATGAATCAGGAAGGCCACAAAGGGCTGTTCTCATTTGGTTGACAGAGAAAATCGGACACAAATTTGTCTCCCCACATTTTCTTTTATTAATCGTATACTATCAAGGAGCTTCAGAACCTCTTGTATGGCTACTGTGGTGCCGAATGGTCTGGTGTGAGCCTCATCATATTCCAGTGCACGGAACTATTTCCTAATGGAAAGTCTGCCCCACTGCATGGTAGACAGCTAATGAGAACTGCCTACTAAGAGCCCCTCAGTTGCAAGCCCTAGCACAATATGCTGGGCAATTACAGACTCTTGGTGGTGGCCACAAAGGCAGTGCTGGAATTACTGGTTCTAGGGATGGCTAGCAGAGTATGTGCTGAATGCAACCCCCCCTAAAATTGTACGTTACCTTCTTGACCTTTCTGGAAATTTAATCATACATGTTAGTATTCATCTGTGTTCCTAAGCCTGTGGGTAGGTCTTTTCTTTAGAATGAAGATGAACACTGAAAATAATAGATGTGAAAAATGGCTCTGTCTACACTTAAAATATATTATGGGTTTAAAACTGTATGCCATTTGTCTTTTAAATAAGATAAAACATGCCCTGTTTGTGTCTGTCATGGTGTTCTGTGACACCCATCATTGTAGCCTATAATTCTGCTTTCATCTGTTTTAATAATTTCTACCTGTTTCTGAATATTTAATCCCGTTTTTGACATTTCTAAGTAATTTATTTTCTTCTGGTGCTTTAATTAGCAGTTTTGCTCTCCAGTAAAGAAGTGCTTCCTGACTGAATCGTGCAATCTGTCTCTTGACAGGAAGGGTGTACACAAAGAGAATTTTGACTAACAGTCAAAACTACAGCATTTCCACTACAGCATAAAAACTAACTTCAAAGATGAGAGGGGAAAAAAATACAATAGGAGCTTCAAATATCATTAATGCTGTAGTTGAATTCTGTGTCAATAAAAATGATTCTGTCATTCACTGTGGAAAGATAACATTTACCCTTACATGCTTATTAAATATTCGTTTGGAAGCCAGGACTACGTACTCTCATCTCTGACAGATTGCATTGCAGGTTGGAAATGCTGCTGCAACATTCACGTGGCACACTCTTCTGACTCGCAGAACTTAGTTACATGATAATCAAGTCACAGAAGCTAAAATGACCAATTTAGTGTCTAGAATCGAGTCATGCTATTACCATACCCATTGCATTAGCACTAGATCTGAACGGTCATACTGTGCAGCATAGTAACATCTAATAAAAACTTTCAGCTGCCATGAATTTTTCACATTACTGTATTTTCAGTGGTGTTATTTTCTATGATGTTTAACAATTCAAAAACATTGGACAAGGTAAGTCTTTTCAGAGCGCCATGTCTTTTGTTTTTTGGTGGGTTTTTTAAAATGTGTGCAGATATTTTATGGCTCTCTCCATCTCTGGAATTTAATTTTCTTTAGAATTCTGTGTGAAATACTTTCAGCTTATATCTAAGGTAAGTAGGTTTATGGTCTAGATGATCAAATCTAATTGTGAAATGGCTATTTTTAGGATTATGGATATAGGTTTTTGGAGAGTGAGATGCACAAACAGAAAATTATGAAATGCAGAATATCTATTGTGTAGGATTTTACTTGTAAAATTTATTAATAAGTGAATTCCATGTAAATAGCTTCATTTGATTTAATAAGAAAATACCAGCAGAAGATTAAATGAGGGAAAAAGACATTTTAAAGAAACTAGTTTATAGGCTGAGGTCAATCATGTTTTCTAAATGTGAAAAAATCACTAAAGTATATTGAGACAGATTGAGTTATTCACATAGGTTTGAAGCTAAACTCATAATTAAGTGTCTTGGTGAACTGGCAGAATAAAAAGAAACCTTTCAGGAAGAGTGTATTTTCATATTAGAAATTAAAGTAGAGGGTGTTTGTTTATTTATTTACACATAAGAAGATTTGTTAGTCCAAAAGCATTCAAAATAAACTTAGAGATCTTGATATTAAAATATCAAGATGCAGACCCAATGCCAACAAATATGATTATATCAAAGTTCAAGCTACTTTTGTTCAAGTACTAAATAAAAAAAAATATATATTTTTAAAAGATGGTTAAGATGCTTTTGGAGTTTGATAGTATCTCTATGCTTTGCTTTGGACCAGCTGGAGAGAGCGTAATGAACATGTTTGTCTTCTAGTGAAGAAAGTTTAATTTCCAATTAAAATATATTATATTGAAAAAAAAAAAAAAAGAGAAAATCAATGCATCTTTGTGCAACATTTATGGTCAAATATTGAATAATCCATCTGATAGCTTACTATATGAATTTGAAATAAATTGAAAGCAATTATGTATCCAGCCCACGTATTTTCATTATATAAACTGAGAATAATTAAAAAGCTAAATGAAGACCATACAAGATAAAAAATATTTCATTCATTTCAATCATTATCAATTGCCTGAATACAGAAAAGAAGATGTGTTTTGTTTACCTGGCAAGGTCCTCTGAATTGCTGAATAATACCGAATGCATTTGTTTGCCAGAAATGTGAGATGGCTGTCCATTTATGTGTTGCTAACATCTGCATATTAAACACCTGAGCCCAAATAATACACTATGGACCTCTACCTCTTTGATGTATCATAACCTTACATTTTCATTCCTTGCAGAAGGGAATCCATATACCTGGTGGGTTGGAAAAGCCAATGAGAAGCACTACTATTGGGGCGGATCAGGACCTGGCATTCAAAAATGTGCCTGCGGCATCGAACGCAACTGTACTGATCCCAAGTACTACTGCAACTGTGATGCTGATTACAGACAATGGTGAGTGGTTTACAAGAAGACAGGGTGAGAATGACCAGAATCTCTTAACTTTTACAACACTGTCATTATTTGGAATGTCTTTTGTTTATATATTTCCTTTCTTACCGAAGAACAAAAGCAAACATGTATTTGTGATTCTCCTGAAAACTATCTACCCATCTCTTCATTTCCATTTTATTTACGTATCTGTGACTGTCAAATATAAGGAGTATATTTGTGTTTTAAAGTCAACTGAGCTAGAGCAAAGAATACTAAAATTGCCAAGCAAAGTCCTAATAGGAGAAGCCAGCATTTTGGCTGCCCATGCAACTTTGCCTCCATCATATTCAGTTATATTACAATACAGTATTTATTTTTATCTCTGCAACTTAATTTTTTTCCCAAAAATTTATCCTTTTTGGTCTACTATTGCTGCATTTGCCTATAGAATGTGAGGGATATGAGTTGAAATCACTCATCTAGTGATTCCAACCCTCATTATCCATTTTTCATGAGAAATATGTGTTAAGAACTAGGCTTAAAAGTATTATGGAATGAGGATCTGTATTTCAGTGGAAGCAATTGCACTTTGCATGAGATAATTAAATATTTATTGGCCTGTCAGTTGAGAATATGAGCCTGTAGCCCATTTGGGATGAGACTCTGAGAATTGGTTCTAGTTTCTTCTCTAATAAATAGTTATTGATTCATCCCAGGTGGAACAATTTTAACAGAGGGACTGAAGAAGTCCTACCCCAAAGTATTTTACAGACTGGTAACAGGGGCAGTCTGTTGTGAGGTAATTGATGTGGGTTTAAATCCCTTCAGGCAGAAATTAGAATTAAACCTGTGACTCTGATATTCCCACTTGACACTCTAACAATGAACCTACTGTGTAAAGCTCATTACCATTTTGTGTGATACCCTCTCTGTGCTCTTAGAATGCTACATGTGTAAGCTTTAACTGTCTGTCTTTTGTCATGACATCATATTTTACATGATAGGCCATGTTTAGTCATCAGTTGGAACCATACTTTTATGAGCATTTTTCCCATTAATAGCAATCTGTTGGTAATTAAGTCAATACTGGTTCATTAACCATTTTGTGTTAATAATTGAGAAATTCATACAGCTATTAATGAGTATAGAGCTACACAAAGCCAGAAAGAAAAAAAAGAGTATGGGGAATCAGAGAACCACAGAATCACAGAATAGTTGAGATTAGAAGGGATCTCAGAGTTCATCTAGTCCAAAACCCTTGCTCAAGCAAGGCCACTTAGAAACAGTTACTCAGGACCATGCCTAGATGGCTTTTGAATTTGTCTAAAGATGGAGACTCTGAAACTTCCCTGGTCAAACTGTGCCAGTGCTTGGTCACCGTCGTAGTAAAGAAGTGTTTCCTGATGTTCAGAGGGAACCTCCTGTATTTCAGTGGGTGCTTATGGCCTCTGGTCCTGCTATTGGGCACCATGGAAAAGAGCCTTGCTCCGTCCTCTTTGCACTCTCCCTGCAGGTATTTATACACATTGATGAGATCCCCCTGAGTCTTCTCTTCTCCAGGCTGAACAGTCCCAGCTCTCAGCTTCTCTTCATAGGAGAGATAGTTCAGTCCCTTAATCATCTTAGTGGCTCTTCATTGGACTCTTTCCATTAATTCCATCTTTCTCTTGTACTGGGGAGCCCAGAACTGGACACAGTACTCCAGGTGTGGCCTCACCAGTGCTCAGTAGAAGGAAAGGATCACTTTGACTTTCTGGCAATGCTTTGCCTAAGGCAGCCCAGGATGCCATTAGTCTTCTTGTCCACAAGGGCATGTTGCTGGCTCATGTTCAACTTGGCATCCACCAGGACCCCCAGGGCCTTTTCTGCCAAGTTGCTTCCCAGCTGGGTGGCCACCAGCATATACTGGTGCATGAGATTGTTTTTCCACAGGTGCAAGACTTTACACTTTTCCCTATTGAACTTCATGATATTTCTGTGAAACCATTTCTCCAGCTTGTCAAGGTGTCTCTGGATGGTATCATGACCCTCTGGCATGTCAGCCATTCCTCCCAGTTTGATGTGATCTGCAAAGTATGAAAAATACAAAATTAGAGTAATAAAGGAAAAAAAGAAATTTTTCAGGCCCTGCAGAAATGATATATTAGGATGTGGGAAATCGAACATTGCCACAGACAGTGCCACCCCAAGCTTTGACACTGTTAGGATAGTATGCAGTTATCTATGGTATGGGGTGAACTGTAGAACACCACAGAGACAGAGAAGTCAGTATTAGAGACAGAGGAATCAGACATGGTGCCACACTTCAGAGCTAGAATTATATAGAGAGTGAAGAATATAAAGTCAGAGGATCCTGACTCAAACATAGGCATTATAGCAGTGTGTCAGGAGGGGAGGTAGGTTTGGTTGTGTGACAAAATGGTAACAATAAAAGGAAGATATTGTAATAATAATTACAATAATGTCAGAATTAGGAGCACTTACAGTTTTCATTGCTTGGGGCTCCCTATCCATGAATAATAGCCTCTGTACCATATGTTGACTGTTTTCTTTTACACCAAGGGAAATGCATGGGTGAAATAGCATTGACTTTTGATCATCTATTGTGGTTTCTCTAAGAGTCACATATAATAATTTAATAAGCAGTGTTCACTAAATAATCTTTTTCTGTAACCTCTATGCCACCTATATACACAAAGATTATATGGAATCTAATAATAAATAGATTAAAATAAATATTAAATTTTTTAAAATCTAAAATATTATTATCATAATAGGTATACAACTGTTTATTCAGAACTTCAAATAAGAAGACATTTATACAGTATTTTTCTGGATATGTATTGGAGCTTTTTTCAGGAAAACTGTATATTACAGGACAATTTATGAGAAATAGTTATACAGATGGATATTATATTTTAATACGTGATGTGTGTAAATCACAAGAAGAAATGAAAGCCTCATTATAGTCTTTAAGGATGTTTTGTTCAAGATTAATTTTTACAGTTTAGCTTTGGCAGATTTTGGAAATATTTTGAGGAGTCCTAGTTAGGAATTTTTTCTAGCCAAGTTGATCAATACCTAAATAGCAAGTGAGCTCCAGAGGTGAGGAGACCTCACTGACTTCAGTTATCTGGGGCAGAATGTTAACCAGGGCCTCGAGCACATCCATGCTCAACTCTGGTGACAGCAAAAGAGTGTCTGGTTTGGATCACAGTATCTGCAACAGCACTTTTGGAGAATTGACATGAGCAGATAGATTCAGCCAGTGGTAGCAATGGGGGCCTTGAAAGGACAGAAGCCACTGAGAATCTCAGAGTGCTATCCAGTAGCTGTGAAAGTATGCATCCATCTCATTCTATCTCACCACACTGGATTTCAGGAGAGCAGACTCTGGCCTCTTCAGGGACCTGCTTGGCAGAGTAGCATGGGATAAGGCCCTGGAGGGGAGAGGGGCCCAAGAAAGCTGGTTAATATTCAAGGGTCACCTCCTCCAAACTCAGGAATGATGCATCCCGACAAAGAGGAAGTCAGCTAAGAACACCAGGAGGCTGCATGGATGAAAAAGAAGCTCCCGGACTAACTCAAACACAAAAAGGAAGCCTACAGAGGATAGAAGAAAGAACAGGTAGCCTGGGAGGAATACAGAGAAATTGTGTGAGCAGCCAGGGATCAGGTTAGGAATGCCAAAGCCCTGATAAAATTAAATCTGTCCAAGGATGTGATAGGCAACAAGAAAAGCTTCTATAGGTACAGTGGTGATAAAAGGAAGACTAGGGAAAGCGCGGGCCCTCTGCAGAAGGAAATGGGAGACCTGCTTACCCAGGATATGGAGAAGGCTGAGGTACTCAACAACTTCTTTTCCTCAGTCTTCACCAGCAAGGGCTCCAGCCAGACTGCCTAAGACACAAAATGCAAAGAGTGAGGACTGGGAGAATGAAAAACCGCCCATTGTAGGAGATCATATTTGAGACCACCTAAAGAACCTGAAGATGCACAAGTCCATGGGACCTGCTGAGATTCATCCACGGGTCCTGAGGGAACTGGCAGATGAAGTGATTCATCTATTCATCATATTTGAGAAACCATGGCAGTCTGGTGAAGTTCCCTCCAACTAGAAAAGAGGAAACATAACCCCCATTTTTAAAGAGGGAAAAAAAGAAGTCTTGGGGAATTACAGGCCAGTCAGTCTGGCCAGTCACCTCTGTGGCCAGAAAGATCATGGAGTGGATCCTCCTGGAAACTATGCTGAGTCACTGCTGGGTTTGTGTGTGTGGAGGGGGGTTTTGGTCATTGGGGAGGGGGCTTCTTTGAGAAGCTTCTTGAAGCTCCACCAGCTCCAAGTCGGACCCACCTCTGGACAAGACCAAGCCAATTAGTGATGGTGGCTGCACATCTGTGATAACATATTTAAGAAAGGGAACTTGAGAAGCATTGTGAGGGAGCTATCTATGTAAACACCGCAGTCAGTGGAAGAAAGGAGGAGGAGGAGAGCTGCAGCAGAGACTCCCCTGCAGACCATAGTGACATGGCAGGAAATAAGTCCTCAAGAGTCCTTAAGAAAATAAGGAGGCAATTGGTGACAGCCAACATAACATTACTAAGGGGAAATCATGCCTGATGAATACTGATGGATAAGGGAAGAGCAACTGACATCATCTACCTGGATTTATGCAAACTTTTTGACACTGTCCCACAGGACATCCTGGTCTCTAAATTGGAGAGAAATGGATTTGATGGATGGACTACTCAGGGGATAAAGAACTGGCTGCATGGTCGCACTCAGAGTTGTGGTCAGTGACTCAATGTCCAAGTGGAGAGCAGTGACAAGTGGCATTCTTCAGGGGTCGGTGTTGGGACTGGCACTGTTTAACGTTTTTGTTGGTGACATGGACAGTGGGATCAATGAACCCTCAGCAGGTTCACCAATGACACTGAGCTGTGTGGTGCTGTGACACACTGGAGGGCAGGGATGGCATCCAGAGGGACCTGGGCAGGCTGGAGAGGGGGGCCCGGGCAAA